CTATATTGATCCAGATATATTACATCGCGAAGCTCATATAATATTAGCAGTATTTCTATTAAAAAATAATTAATTTCTAAATAAAAATATATGTGAATACAGTTCAAATAATATAAATAGTATAAATTTTAAAAAAAAGTTATATACACACGAATTTTGTTTTTATGTGCATCATTGAAATCATCTAGTTCAATGTCTTGGTCACTAATACCATCAATTAGCTTGCACAAAAATATGCAGCTACACACCATGAAGCCCATCAAGGCAATGGGAATAGATGCCGTTGTGTTTGTATGATTTGATTAGTGTATGTATTGGAGGGGAAAGGAATATGAGATATAAATGTAGTAATTTCCAAAATATGTATCCAATAGATTGCCGCCCAATTAATAGGCTTCTTAGTGGTGGTGGCGTTCGTGAACTGGTACCTCATATTCCCAGCACTTGTCCTGATTATCCTAATCTTGCAAATCCGATGGATTTATATAAAAACAGCGAGAGATTTGAAATAATTTGAAAACATGGGTACAAGTTATTGACACTTTTGTACAGCAATATAATTTAGATGATATCTCTGACCACAGCCCGGAGTCCCATATATAACCACATGAGCACCACATTGAGTGGTTTGGCGACTATCCGTGCGTTTGGGACACAGAATATGTTTATGAATCAGTACTACCGGTACCAGAATGACCACACTTCCACTTACTTCATGTGTTTCAACTCATCCAGAGCTATCACTTTTTACAAAGAATCGCTTATTTGCTATTTATTTATTCATCCAAATTCATATAAAATGTGTGGTTTTGGTCCATTCTTACATTGGTATCAATAGTAATTAGTTAGTTATTAAGTGTATTAATTACTTGAAAAGTTAGATTTATAATAATTATAGATATATAATAATAATTACTACGGTAAGATATTTAATGTTAAGAACTAAGTGTAAAATATTGCAAAACATAAATCTAAACATACTAGTATACCTGTCTATAATATTATTTGAAATGGTTTGTTTTATTATTGTTTTGAAAGATTTATTTAAATAAGATATTTATTATACATATCGACGCGACAATAATAACATTGCATCTTATGATCAATTTTTCAGAAACATATTTTGAAATAAACGTATTTCCCTGTTAAATTGTGCATGTTAATGTTTTGTTAATTTTCCTTATTTTTGTTTATTTAACTATAATTAAAAGGAATGCATTAAAATGCGATAAAATTTGTTCAGTATTTGGCTAAAAATAAATTTGCACAATTTTGTTAAATGGGATTTTGTTGGCAAAATGACTGTTATGTGAGTTATAATCACCAGTGATACATATACGGTAATATAAATTATATATATATATATGAGGATTTTACACTTCTTTAATTGCATTCACGAGAATTGAATAACTCATTGGTCCTAAGAAAATATATTTTCAACATGATCATTATATTGATAGCAACCTAGCCATGGGTGTACGGTTATGTAATGCCCGCTATCAGGAATATTTTAAAATAAATTGATTAAAAAATTTAATGAATGCGGAAAATTACATAATTATATTCTGTAAAAATAATTTGTAAACAGAGGTAGAAGAGGTAAAAACTCTGATTAATAAATGATATAAATATTTTCAAAACTAATGAAAAAAGTTTTAAAAGTTTTCAAACTAAACTAAACTAAACTAAACATGTTGCTAGGATTGATATTTTCATTAAAATCATTTTTTCTATTCTTAACCTTATTGGTTATACTTTATTAGTAAGTTTAATTTTAAATAGTTATTAATAAAGTGTTAACTAATAATTATTCGTATCTATTCATTGCTAGTTATTTAACCCGAGATTTTCAATTCTGGAGTTCCCGGGGTATTAATGGTCCAAAACCTGTACCACTTTTGGGGACTTATTGGCAACTACTTTTAAAGCCATTCCAGATAGTTGGCCTGGATAATCAACAGCGGTATGGCAAATTATATGGGTATGTAATTTAATAAATATTTATAATAATTAAAAAAAATTGAATTACGTATGATAATTTGTTTCGATGATAGCACCTATATATGCACTCAACCAACATTAACGGTGAGTGACCCGGAGCTGATCAGAGATATGAATATAAAGGATTTTCACGTATTTGTGAACCGACATGGATACTCATTCAATGATCCCTTNTGATCAGAGATATGAATATAAAGGATTTTCACGTATTTGTGAACCGACATGGATACTCATTCAATGATCCCTTGAATGACAGGTCATTGACTAACTTAATGGGAGACGAGTGGAAGACTATGCGATCGATTGTGAGTTGTATTTAAATAACTTTTAATTATTATAATTATTATTAATAATAATGCAATCAATAGATAAGTCCGACGTTTTCGAGTGGAAAGATGCGATCAATGCATCCCATTATCATTGATTGTGTCCACAGATTAGACAACTATTTGGAGACAAAATCCATGGATGGAGAAGACGTGGAGACGAAGAAAACAATGGGAAGCCTAACGATGGATGTGATCTTTTCGTGTGCTTTCGGCACCAAAATAGACACATATAATGACCACAAGACCAATGAATTCATAGTAAACACTAAAGAAGTGTTTTGCGGAGCGGTTTGGAGGTTATGGGTGTTCATAGCTTTAGTGAAAATATCTCCGAAACTCTTTGAATGGACGGGATTTCAAATTATTGATCCATCGGTTCAGAAGTTTTTCATTACAGCCGTAAGTGAT